ATAATTTACTCGAACAGTAGGTGTACACACCACATCTCAGTTATCTGCCCTTGGTATCTACGTAACACTCCATATACGCAGTGAGCGATCGTTTCTCAACTAAATTAGTTTGACGGTCTTTATCAGTATGAAGAGTTAGACAGCAGGCTATCGTTATTTTCATGACGACTTATTGTTCGGACAAAAATTAGATATTCAACATTTCCAGAAATAGATATGGTTCTTATTTGAATATACCGCCCCCGCCCCCACTTAGCATGCATTAATTTCCAAGAAATTACACTTAACTTCCATAAAAAGGTTAAAAATAGGACAAATTTAATACAGGCATCGGTTCATTGAACTCGCCTCTCCGTCCTCATAGTAACGAGGATGTTATCAGCCAACACATAGAGATAAGATCTCTCTACAATGGATGAAAAGGACAAAGCTTTGTGAGTCATAATTGTATTTCAAGCTATACATGTAATAATAAACTCTCCATAAAATACCAGGACAAAGTATCGGAACATCGGTATTCTTATAATTGGCCCATAAACAAGTTTTCTGATCCGTTCAAAAATTGAACTATACACATGAACAAAACATTGAACAACACGTGAACCAGATGTTGAACACCCGATGAACCAGACGTTCAATAACACGTGAACCAGACGTTTAAAAACACGTGAACAAGACGTTGAACAACACGTGAACCAGACGTTCAATAACACGTGAACCAGACGTTGAACAACACGTGAACCAGACGTCTGCTATCTGGTTGGTATACTGGTATTGGTTTTTAAATAACGTTATAAATACCGTAAATAGTATTTACATTCAAACCGAATCGACACACAAGATTAACCGAAGTAAGATATGGGTGATGAGATCATAATTCTGACATAGTCATCGCGACGTCATCACAAATGTGTCGACGTTATTAATCATATATTTCCATTTGCTCTGCATTGCCACTATATAACCTTACCAAACAAAATAGAAAGTTATCAGATCATAACTCTCATAAAATTCCCATTGGTGTAGTGATATGAAGAACGTGTTCGTGACGTCGTGACAAAATGACGTCGTTTTGACCGATGCTCAATGTAACTCGCAACAGTTTTTGTAGTTGTGTTGTATAAAAAGGTGAATAGCATCACGGTGGAATATATTTATTAAACTGATGATTTTGTGTTTATTCCCACGAACTATATTTTCTGCCGGGAACGGTCGCGTGTACTCGTGACGTCACAAGAATAAGTCCCATTGACAGACAGCGCGAGAGACTGAAAAGCGATAACAGGTTGGAAATATAAGAAAAACTTAAATTAAAAAAAACGGAAATATAAGTATTAAACTGCCCTCTTTGGAAAGTTATTGTCCTATAATTCCCACAGGACTGTAGAAAAATTAATCAGAATTCGCTAACGCGCGTTATTCAACGTGTCTGCAATCCTGTGAGAATTACAGGACAATAACTTTCCAAAGAGTTAAATCTATGGAATAAATATGAAATTCAGTAATATTACTGGATTGGACTGAGAACGCGTTAACGCAATCTGTCTATTTGTCTTTAATTATAGCTCAAAAACTCTCAGCTGAATGCAGTTTAATGTACAATTTATATATACACAGTGATATACATCCTTTCTAATGTGTATGCCGGTACGTCATTTCCGGTCGGACGTTAGGGCGACATGCAAGGTCATCCATAGGAAACATTACGTAATCTAGTCGTTTACATATATAGATGGACTACGTGTCATCATGCGAATTAGATACAGGACGTATGTTTGAGCTTAGCTGATGAGTGTATAGTGTTCAACGTTCTGATAGGGTTTAGATAAAAAAAAAACGCCCTTACTCCTTAAACCCATCTCGTCCGACCTAATGGCATTTTTAATCGAGTGTTGAATCCATAAAACGTGAAATATAACTGGCTACATATCAGTCTAAACATATGTAACTAAGTATCCGGTCCCTGTGTCTAAAAAGGGTAAATCGACCGGTAAAAACAACAGCAATGGCCCCAAGGCAGAACAAAAATACTTCCCGACAATTAGTACAATCGGAATTTTCCGTAAACAAGAAAATATGTGTTTATTGGAGTTACAATCTCTAGTATCGGAAGGGCGACTACAATTTGTTTAATGACTTTACTTTATGAAACGTCGATACAATCAATTTTATAGCTTATAATTAAGATGACTGCATGTGCTGTAAATCACAAAATTTCATTCGCTTTATACTCTCAGCAGTGGCGGATCCAGAGACCTATCTGGGGAGTTTCCAAATTTCCAGGGGGTTTCCATGTGGGGGAAAGTTGAGGAAAATGGTGAAAATACATGACTTTTAAAGAAAATTCTCAGGTTGGGTTTTTTCCTGAAGCCCCCAAAGAACCCTCTGGATCCGCCACTGGTCTGTGTATACCATACAGTAACTTTATTTCATGTTTTGATAATGATTGTCCTTTAAGCCCAACGCAATCAAAGAATTGATTTGAAAACAATTGCGCGACATTGGGTAGCTAGTCACACGAGAGAACAACAGTGATTATATTGAATGCATTCATTTATGATATGCTATTGTTTACCCTACAATACGACATTTTGTAATATATATACCAAATGAACTCGACCCCGAAGCAGATGATCAATGAACAATTCTTTACATACATTCACAATGTACGCGACGTGTCTTTAATGAAGCTTCGTCCACTACAGTCCACTACAGTCACAGAATAATGGTCGGAATGATATTTGCTTCCGTTAATATGCCGACCGGAAATGGTCAATGTTTCTAAAGAAATATACATGTGTAGCGGAACTGGACTGGGTCGATCGTCGGTGACAAGGTAACTCAATTGGTAGAACGTTCTTCTGGAGTTCAGATGGTCCCAGGTTCGAATCCCGGCGTAGTCGTGAACTCTCCTTTCTCCTGTTACATTTGACGCCCAACGAAATATATCCACAGAAGGTGGTATAGGGTTTCTTGAGTCTTAAGACACAAAAAGAAGGAGTGTAGTGGGACTGGACTGGGTCGATCGTTGGCGATCAGTCTTTACTCAATTAGTAGAGCGTTCTACTAAGAGTTCAGAGGTTCCCGGGTACGAATCCAGGTCTGTAAATACTTTTACCTTTCTCCTTTTACATATGTACGAGATGATGCGATGGTTTCTATCTAAGATAACTGCGTATTTATCACATGAATTATTTGTCATTGGACGTCATGATCACATGACCATGAAAAGGTCCTCGGAATGGAGTGGACAAACGGTATAGCACCTGTTTGTAAAGGGGAGATAACCAACCTACAGTCAAAAATACAATCATGAGAATAAATTTAATTAGTAACAGTTTACACGTCTTTTTTTCCAAATAATATCGTCATCAAAGAATGCCAGACTTTCGGTATGACTAATTGGTTATCGGAAACCGTGCAAAAACCTTAATAGGGAGACAAGGCCATGTGTATTGTATTTCTATACCTGGAAAATCCTAAAACTTAATTAAAAGGCTTGATTAGTTGCGATCATAACAGTATTGCTGTTTTTAGCTAAATATTAACGCGCCTCCTATAAATTATGCACGAATCCCTACCAATGTTACAATCAGTCCTCGCGTGTCAGACTCCCATTTAATTGGTTCTGGTCCTAGTTGGGCTACTTTTATTGGTATCAAGGGATCGGGTTGAAAAAAGTTGTCATATTTGGTTGGTTATTTGGCATTCCGCTCGATAAACAAACTCATATAAATGTAGATTCATATCGAATGAGAGAGGTAAACAAGTGTATTATATTTAAGACATACTCCAGTGTCCCGGTTTGAGTTTTCAAGGATCATTTCCCGTCATATAAAATGTACACAGGGGCCTGAAAAGCAAGTAGAGCCGTTTTGTAAGGGTTTATATCAACATTCGGTAAAAATGACTCTCCAAATAATTGGGTATGCATACTTTAATCACTTTTCTTAACGAGTGTTGATCTTCAACCCTGAAACTCCGTACACATCAGGTTAGGTCCAAACACAGGGGTTCGAACCCTGGTCCAAACAAACAAGTTGCATCTGAATCTCATGTCCCTGTGGGTGTGTTATCCAAGAAGCAGTTTAGAGGGCCGATATTAAGAAATAAAACAGCCGTTCATTGTGAGTATAAAGTTTCAACAGAAACATCAATATGTGCTCGTATTTCCATTACGGGCGATATCATATATACACATTTTAAATACTTTAAGGAAATCCTACTTTAAACAATTATAGGATATCTTTTGGTGATGAAGGGTATCATGGGCTGACACATTCTGCATTGTGACCCGGATGTCAGGCCGTGCAAACATCTTCGGTCTGGGGTTTTCAAATGACGCTGTGTATTCTTTAAAAAAAACCACCAAGTGGCAAACGTTTCCACGTCAGACCTGCCACATTATCAATGAAAAGGTAAACACACACTCACAACCATAAACCGAGCGATACAGGACGAAACCCTGTCACAAATAATAACGTTGATTGAACTCTTGTGGGTGTCATATTCGTTGGAGACATTCCCACTTAAGAAAGTTATATTGCTTGTACAGTGTCCTAGAAATATTTTCTCTACAATCGGACATAATGTGTACTTTAAATGTTGAAACATCTTCGATTTTTTTCCCCTTTAAAACGGTGATGTTTCAGAATTCATTCCATTGATCCGTGTAACATGTTAGTTGTCACTATTTTTTGTCAGAAATACTAAAAATATTACAAATTAGTATAGTATACCCCGTCACTTTCATAGTAACACTTTACCCGTGGTATTTTTGATAAAATGTCGTGAACAATAGTGTTTTTCCAGTTTTTGAAAATGAATATTGATTTTGATTTTCGGATTAATGGACGGAGCTCGAATAAATGAAATACACGACGTAAAAGTTATTTTAAATAATCCTGGGGCCAGCAAAATTCTTAACCTCGACTAATAAACGATAGAGTTTACTATGAAGTACAGGGAACATGAGGGGATATGAATGATTTATTTCTTACCTTCATTTGAGAATATCCATTTACCCTGAGTGGCTGATGCGAAGGATAAAGGGACGACACAAGCCCCTACCATCATGTCGGCCGCGGCTAGCGAGATTATAAAGTTCCCACTCGGAGTACGGAGTGCTTTAGTTCTGATAATCACAGCGATACTCAACCCATTCCCAATTATAGTACACAACATTATTACGAATAAAAAACAAGCTTTTAGAATATACTCGTATCTCTCCTCTTCGTAGTCCGCCTCATCCCCCGGGACAGTCTCGTTTGTGTGGTTCATAACTGACAAGACCCTCGGGACTGACTGTTAATCCTTTATTTACAATTTCACAATTTAAAACTCACTTCACGACTTAAACTCATTCATACAACGGCGGTGGAGATCTAGTTACATCGGCACATTACTAACTCTTTTCACAAAGAACATCGCCAGTTGTTATCAGCGCTGTCTCGACGTAAAATTACACATTTTTCAGTTGTTAAGATCACACATAAATACAGTTGTAAAACCGATGTCTACTTTATCACATCTATATAGCACACAACCTCACAAGGAACACAAACCGCACACGTACGCTGTGTGTAGTCGAGTTAACACGGGCGCTATACGCTCCCTCTACTGCCCGGCGCTAGTGATTAATGACAATCCATTCAAATACGTGTTATTAGTATCTCATTGTGTTGCAATAATGTGTAACATGACTTACACGTTTTCCCTTTATTGGTCAAGTGGATCCGATTTAATAGTCCGTAGCCCGCAGTATGTACCGTACGTATAGAGGCATAGGAAGTCCGCGCACAAGGAGACTGTGTATCACGGCCCTGTAAAACAAGCCATATACTATTACTTGAATATATTTAAAATCACTGAACCGCTAGGTTCCGGTGTGTCCGTTTCCTTGGCGACCTCCACTCAGTATAAATGAGCATTAACGGACCAGAAATGTGACTTTTTAACATACATCTATATATATACAAAGGGGGAATATAGATACCGAATTGTAGGTATATATCGAGTTTACTCATTTTTAAAATCACATTTAACCATCAAATTTAAACATGAAAGACATGTTTAATTTCATAGATTTGTGTTTCCATTAAGTGGGTATATGCTGTTTTCAAATAAAGATTAATGAAAAAGCCAATTAACCTACATCTGTTAATGAATCCGAGCAGTTGAATAAATATTTCAACTAAATACGCAACTGTGAAAGAAATTGAGAAAAATTATCGGTTAACTTTGTAATTCCTAGTTTGTTTGTGGGGGTTGGGGGCTGGACCTGGGGTAGAGGGGCTGAGGGGGTTGAGGGGTTGTACTAAATGATGTAAGGACAGACCCTGTTTCACAAACATCATTAACTTCGTTGGGTTGGGTTTGTAGCGTTTAGCGCCCTGTTTACAATTAAGGTAATTTAAAATTATGAATCCATCACGTGTCACTTTTTTTTATTTACAGAAAAGGAAAACAAAACCGAAGTTTACTGAACGCTTACCGCACATTTTAAGGAAATTTTCCTTAACTTCATAAATGCTTCATTTTGGAAATTTTTTAAGTCAAGGAATTTCCTTCAGTTCGGTTAAGTTCGTGATGTTTGGGCCAGAAAGAAGAAAGAAATCCCTCTGTAGGTGACGTCATTGTCATTCTGTAGGTGACGTCATTGTCATTCTGAAGGTGACGTCATTGTCATTCTCTAGGTGACGTCATTGTCATTCTGTAGGGTGATTACTTATTGTTATTTTTTCATTTCCTGTTAACTCATATCCTATCTAATAAAAACTCATATGCCAATATATTACCAAAACAAATGTTAGCATATGAAATATAGGTAGATTCATCGAGAAATGAGATAAGAAAAACAATCTTTGAAAAATAGTTAAAACTAAATAGAAGAATATATTGTAAAATTAAAAAGTAACCGAACATCTCTGACATGTCATAGTATATCTAGCGTATCGCCCGAAATCAAACCGTAACTGAATTCAAAGAAATCCACTGTAACCGGACACATGCTCTGAATTAGGTCAGTGTGACATACAAAGAGGTACATGGCTGTCTGTGTAGTACCTCTCTCCCTACAGAACCAGCTGTATGTATGATAAATACTAAATCTGGTATTTATCTTGTTGTTTTAGTCGATAATACTCCAGGGTTGCTGATTCCGTTTCCCCCCGGAGATAGTCCGAATTATTCTGACGTTTTGTCGACTTTTTTCATATCGGTCTGTCGTCGATTAACCAACGACAGACCGATATGAAAAAAAAAGTCGATAAAACGTCAGAATAATTCGGACTACCCCGGAGAGTACTCCACTAAAACGCTAAGGCCAATTTATGGAAGAAGGGGCGCGGCCAGTGCGAGCGCCATTAAATATTATAACTTGTATGTAATTTAAATTTTGTTTTACTTTTCATCCGTGTGATTAAAAGCCAAAAGGATCGTGATAAATGGATAAATCTGTAAGTCCAGAGATTGCTATCTCGTCCGTCTATCACATAATTATGTACGAACGAAACCTGACAAATTTCTCCAAGCTTTCAATATACAAGTACTAAATTCCGTCCTTACACAATCAGAGCCAGTGTTTTATCGAAAAGCACATATGATTAATATTCTGTATTGAAATTACAAAGACCACAGGGGTCAAGTGTATTAATATACACAAAATGATTGCATTTTAAGTAAAGTGATGTTTCCTGCAGAAATACTCATAATTTCCCCCTTTTACTGTTCAATTTGCATCCTTGAAATATAACTTAACGTTGACGTTGATTTGTCGATCAGTGGATAGTTAATGTGGGAGGACATATGAGTACCCATCTTGGTGAAATGCGAATATGCCATCACCTGTGCCAGCTGACTACCCCCATACGCCAGGTACAAGGTGTGCAATAAATGAAACCAATATAAAGCCAATAGTAGATAGTATCCCAACATCTCCATCACTGGTACATTTGTATTATCCCGACGTCTACCTCATTAGGGTAATTCCGGGTTCTCCCTCGTATATATATGAATATGATACATATTGACCTCTTGTTACATACTTTGTATGTCTGAGAGAAATAAAAATCTGAAATCTGGTTACAGGTATTCGGACGTCTCCCTCATTGGGTTAATCCCGACGTCTCCCTCATTGGGTTAATCCCGACGTCTCCCTCATTTGGGTAAGCCCGACGTCTCCCTCATTGGGGTAATCCCGACGTCTCCCTCATTTGGGAAAGCCCGACGTCTCCCTCATTTGGGTAAGCCCGATGTCTCCCTCATTGGGTTAATCCCGATGTCTCCCTCATTTGGGTAAGCCCGACGTCTCCCTCATTGGGGTAATCCCGACGTCTCCCTCATTTGGGTAAGCCCGATGTCTCCCTCATTGGGTTAATCCCGACGCCTCCCTCATTTGGGTAAGCCCGATGTCTCCCTCATTGGGTTAATTCCGATGTTTCCCTCATTGGGTTAATTCCGATGTTTCACTCATTGGGTTAATTCCGATGTCTCCTTCATTCGGGTAATCCCGACGTCTCCCTCATTGGGTTAATTCCGATGTTTCACTCATTGGGTTAATTCCGATGTCTCCTTCATTCGGGTAATCCCGACGTCTCCACCATTGGGTTAATCCCGACGTCTCCACCATTGGGGTAATCCCGACGTCTCCCTCATTGGGGTAATCCTGACGTCTCCCTTATTGGGGTAATCCCGACGTCTCCACCATTGGGGTAATCCTGACGTCTCCCTCATTCGGGTAATCCCGACGTCTCCCTCATTGGGTTAATTCCGATGTCTCCCTCATTCGGGTAATCCCGACGTCTCCCTCATTGGGTTAATTACGATGTCTCCCTCATTCGGGTAATCCCGACGTCTCCCTCATTGGGTTAATTCCGATGTCTCCCTCATTGGGGTAATCCCGACGTCTCCCTCATTGGGGTAATCCCGATGTCTCCCTCATTGGGTAAGCCCGATGTCTCCCTTTTTGGGGTAATCCCGATTCCCATGCTTATGACTTTTATCAGAACACTCTGTAACGATAAAAGAGGCACGGATGTCGGCGAGTTTTTCGGAACTCGTATCAATCGTGCACGAAATCCGTATCAAATCATTTAACATTACGATTTCATTGTTCTTGAAGTAATTTAATTAATGTTAATCTTATATTTCATTACAAATATACACAGGAGAATGACTGTTTTGAAAACACTGCTTAATGTTTAGCATTCATATATCACTATAGGATAGACCAGGAAAGTTTGGCCCCAGGGTAAGTCTGTCTACCCCTGATAGTTTTGGTCATGAACAAATACTTATATTTTGAGGATTTTAGCAGTTTAGTTGGCCGGACGAGATATTCACACACAAAGGGAGGAAACTTCAATTATAAAAGGAAAATACTTTTAGGAGGGTAAAAATAACATCTTGATCTCACTTCTTCCTGGTGGTCAGGTGGCGCAGTGAATAGCGCACTTGCAACAAGAGTGATTATAAAAGTTGAAATAACTTGTTTCATAATTGTTAAAAAAAACAAATAAAGTTTACATTTTCTTCTAGTTTTGAGGATTTTCTGTAAACCGAATTGCTACTCATTTATGTCATAAGTGTAACACACAGACAGCTTCACATGGTGGTATACATAACATTCTAGCATTAACTTTAGTATTGCTGTATAAATGATTTATTTTTTTTGGGGGGGGGGGGGGGGGGGGGGATATCAATTATGGACAGGTCGGCCCATGATACCGGAGAAAGTTTGGTCCAAGCATCACATAAAAAGTCTCGGCCTAGCCATACTTCTACAATTTGATATTGTATGAGGCTTTGTAAAATGCGATAAAGCATGCAGCAGGAATCTTGATGGACTAGCATGCTAAATGTTCCAGTAGTAATGTAAACGTCCTACCCTTTGCAATGAAACTGTAACAGAGGCACGTCCTTGAATGACCTTAGCTGTTAATAGGACGTTAAACAAAATTAAACCAAATCAAACGTCGTGACATTACACCGAATGTAAAAAACATACCATTAGTGCGGAGTTTTTATTTATCTGATGGAAGTCGTATACAGCGCCAAATAAACTTCTAGCTCCGACGGAATCTATGCTTCATGTATCACTATATATGTGAGCCGTTAGCACGAGCAACGGGATAACGCCCGTGTCTATTGACACCTAGCTAAGCACGATGTGGTTGGGCGAGGGGCCATGATGCCTTGGCCTGGTATGACGTGTGTGTGATGACATGGTGAAAATGTGTTTTTTAAGCGAATAAAGGGAGACAACTCGAATAGAATCTAAGAGATGTATGTATGTTTCAAATTATGATCTCGCTAACAATCAACTTTAAGTTTTGTCAATAATATCAGTTCATGGTTGGTTACAAAATTGAATAAAGTAAAAAAATAAATAAAAAAATGGTCTTTCGCATTAATATCTAGACAAATGTCCCCCCCCCCCCCTACTGGTAAGTATATTAATTGTTCACAACAGTTGAGATATATAATTGCCATCACCGAAGAGTCCTAGAAAAACAACACGGCTGCATCGTAACGTTACGGTGAAGTAAACTTTTGACATACTGTATCTATTACGACACTTTAAAGGCGCAGTCACCTCACTCTGTGTGCAACGTTCATATTTCGCAAACTACATAGTTTATCTTCCCGAAGTATATTATCTTCCACTTTCGGTTGGTAATCTGTTATAAATATGTCTATCCTGTTTTAAATTTACAAAACGTCCTAGCCAAGTTTAGAGGGAGGTCAAAATGATATTTGTTTCAAACTCAACTCTTGTTTTAATATGTACACATTCTACCGTGAGTAATTTCCATTG